GTTTAAAAGTGATACTGTGGTAGTTTAAAATGAGACTGGCCCCCACTGGCTCAAGGAGATTAAAAGTTTAAAGAAAAGTCTGATGTTAAATGAAAAAAGGGAGTAAGGATCTCAGGTCAAGACCTTACCATGCTAAGCTTGCAATCTGTGAAAAGGAATTTTTTAAAAAGCTTAAGCAGTGAAAGAAAACACCAAGAAGAGAAAGTTGATACAAATGAAATTGAAAAGGCAGAAGTTCTAACCCCAGCAAGTAGCAGAACTTGGAACCTTCAGCCATATGGGTAGGGTCAAGGATACAAGGGGTTATGGAATTGCCCTCTGCAACTAAGAAAAACCTCTGAGGACATATGTGAGGAGTGTCCTTGCATGGAGATTCAGAAAGGCCTTTGCAGGAAGTTAGAAGAGTGAATCCTGCATTGACTTGGGGACCCCAAGAGGTTGGAGATGTCAGAGCCAACGGCTACTAGCAAGAAAGCCTGATAACAGAAGGTGGACTCAGCACAAGACAGAGAAGTAAGTTGTAGTCAGCAAAGCTGAAAGGAGTTGAAAATCTGGAGAAGGCTTTGACATCAGATATGGAGCAGCAGAGATTAGAGTTTGTCTAGCTGGTTTTTGGTCTTAGTTTGGTCCAATATGTACTCACTGTTCTACCTTTCCTCTCTTTTGGAGTGGTAATGTATATTCTGTGCCACTGTGTGTTAAAAGTATGGAATGGCTTTTTGATTTTGAATTTACAAGGATTAATGTTGAGAGATTCCATAAATCTTAGAAGAGACTTTGGACTTTGGAATTTTAAACATTGTTGAGACTGTTGGTAGACTATGAGAAATTTTAAAGTTAGGCTGGCTGCACTTTGCATTATGATACGGTTATAAGCCTGTGGGGGTCAGGGAATAGAATGTAGTGGATTATATAAGAATGGCTCCCATCATATGTCTGAATGCTTAGTCATGAGAGAGTGGCCCTGCTTGAGAGGCATTAGGAGGTGTGGTCTTGTAGAAGGAAGTGTGTCGCTTGGAGTACACTTTCAAGTTTCAAGAGCCCAAGCCAGGCCTAGTGGCTTTCTCTCTTCAGTCTGCATGCAGTGGCAGGTGACATGTTAAAGGTTGCTAGGCAACCTGAAAGCAGGCTATTAGAATAACATTTCTCCCTTTTTGTTTAAATAAAAAATGGGGAACTAAGAAGGGGTGGTGAGGAGGGAATGGGGATGTTGGGCTGCTTCTCATGCAAGACATGTTAAAGTATATAAACATAGGTTCATTGGAGACAGCTCTTGGCCACCATGCAAGGGAGGGGGGACAGAACAAAAACAAGAGCACCAAATGTCCAGATTATATAGTAAAGGAGGAGGAGAAGCCCCTGCCCTGGAAAGTTAAGGGTAGAGGGTGGGGTATGCCAGCCATGCCCAGCAGCAAGTAGGGACTGAGGAATCCTGGGAGAACCTGGAGCTGCTTGTCCTGGGTCTGAAGCATACCATTCCTGCCTTTTGTTGATAACAAATGGATAAGTAGTGAAGAAATCGTCTTTGCCTACTTTCTGCTAACATTGGGGTGGTGATGTGGAGGGCAAAAGGCTGGAATGTTGGCCGAGTTCAGGAAGAGCAGTTTGTCCTACTTGCTGTTCAGAATCTGAGAACATCTGCAGCTAGGAGGGAAAATGCAGGTCCAGCTGACACAATCTGTGAGGCTAGACTGGAGCACCTGTGGATAATTGCTTTGGCACTGTTGTGGATGTAGGAAACACCTGGAACTGACAGGATTATGGACCACATATATGGGCACAAGACAAAGTTAAGTAGGAGAAAGTCCTCTTTTAGGTGCACATTTGAAACTGTTGGCCCCATGGTTTTGGTAGTTGGGGGAGGGGCACCCAAAAAACTAGGGTAAGGGAGAGGAATCCCACCCTTCGAGATAGGCAATAGGTAGAAAATGTAGGCTGCTGATTGGCAGTACTTCTCTGGAGTCCATCTGATCTGAGGTGGATATTGGTAGATTTCCTGTAGTTTACAAGAATCTTTTTAAAGTTTAAACATATTAGCATCACCACTGTTTGTAATCTGCAGTGAAATACACACTGTAGAAAAAGGGAGTAGACACATCTTGTGTCATAGAACAGCAGAGGCTTGGGAAATGATTTCGGGTTAAAGCATGAACACTCTCTGAGGCAAGCTCAGGGAAGACAGATCCTTCTGTGAAGCAGAAGGGGCAAAAGCTCACGTGATCTTAATTTTCAGTATGATTACACACCATGAAAGAAGGGCTTCTTCCCTCTCTCCAGAAGGCTGGATGTATATAAATCTAGCACAATGAGAGACATTTTTAAGTCTATACCTAAGGACAAACCAAAAGAAATTTAAAATGTTGAGCTTAGAACCATGATAGTGGACCATATAGTGGATTTTTTTAAAAAACTAGAGTTAGATTAGCATAGCAACAGAAAGAAATCTGAAGCATTTTCTATTATTTTTTTTAATATGTCTTGGTTTTGTCTTACAACTCTCTAGCCCTGAGAGCAACGCAAATCTACTTGCCTTTTAAATAAGAGATCTAGTAGTGAGTAGTTTAACTAGCTCCTGAATTGACTAATGAACTAATAGGGTGGATTACATTGGGATAAGGAGCTAACTTCCTGTTCCTTAGCTGTCAAGCTACCATCAGCTTAGCCATCAATGTGATCAGAGAGTGTTCATGCTGCAATATATTTGGTATGAGAAAGCTTATTGTGGGAAAGGGGAGAGAAGGAAAGGCACCCCGGAGAGAGGGAGAGAAACTGAGAAAGCAGGAGAACACACGTGGCACGCACTTCGCTGTGGCAGGTGAGGATGTCAGATGTTGCTAGGTAACCTGGAAGCACGCTATTGGAATACCAAACATAAAATACCTTTTCTAAAAGTCTGAAGGTGGAGCTGCTCAGGAATTGATGTGCCTTCACAATGTGAAATCACACTGCACACTTAAAAATGTGTAAATAAAATTTGTTTTATAATAACAAGTCTCTAGCTCCGGCGAACAGATTTTTCTAACTTATATAACTATATACCACAGACTTAGGCATTCCACTTATGCTGCCAACCTGGTAAACGCTGCTGACTGCCTGTGGTGGGTTGGATAAGAACGGTGCCCACAGGCTCAAAGATTTGAATGCTTGGTCATTGGGGAGTGGTGCTACTTGACAGAGACTAGGACCCCTAGCCTTGCTGGTGGAAGTGCATCACTAGAAGTGTGCTTTGGAGTTTCAAATGCTCAGGCCAGGCCCAGCGTCTCTCCTCCTGCTGCCTGCTGACCTGGATTTAGAATTCTCAGCAACCTCTCCAGCATCGTGTGTGCCACCATACTAACCACAGTGACAATCATGGGCTGAACCTCTGAAACTGTAAGCCAGCCTTAATTAAACCCTTTCCTTTGTAAGAGCTGCCATGGTCATGGTGTCTTTTCACAGCAACAGAACTCTGACTAAGACACCACTCTGATCTCATGGCTTGCTAAGACTGCTTTCTTATGCAACTCAAGACCACCTGACCAGGGTCGCACCAAACACAATGGGATGGGCACTATTGTATCATTAATCAAGGAAATACCCTATACATTTGCCCACATGCCAGTCTGACTCCAGCTTGTGTCAAGCTGACCAAATCTAACCATCATTCCTACCGAGTCATATCCCAGCCTCCAAAGACAGATTTTAAAGCAAATCTCAATTCTCTTGACACTCAGTTTTCAGGATGTGAACATGAACACATACATGTAAAATGTTGAAAATCTGTCAAGTGTAGGACTGGAGAGATGGCTCAGCAGTTAAAACCACTTGCAGAAGACCTAGGTTTGATTCCCAGGACTAACATGGTGGCACAAAAATATCTATAGATCCTGTTGCAGGGCATCCAATACAGTCTTCTGTGGGCACCAAACACCCAAGTGATAGACACACATATATGGAAGCAAAACACTCATGTATATGAAGGAAATTTAGTAAATTAACAATACAGGCACCCACATCTCTTACATGTCAGCCAGAAATACATAGAAATGTGTCAAATATTTGTAGCCAAAACTATAACTTAGTAATTTAAAAAAATCAAGAAACTGGATCAAAGGAGAGAAATTCCAAGATTGTAGACAGGAAGCTTCAATATTATTTCAGTCCAGAATCTGAGCTACAGTTCAACAGAACTCCAATAAAAAGTCTCACGATTGCCAGGTAGTATGGCACATGCCTTCAGTCCCAGCACTCAGAAGGCAGAGGCAGGAGGATCTCTGTGAGTTCAAAGCCAGCCTGGTCTACAGAGAGAGAAAGAGAGTTCCAGGACAGACAGAGCTACACAAAGAAACCCTGTCTCCAAAAAACCAAAACGTCTAAGGATTTCTGCTACGAACAATAGCAAACTGATGACTTAAGGTCATCTTGAATGAAAACATAACCAACGACTGAACGAACAGCACACAGTGACATCATCTGACTTCAAAACTTCTCATACACCTGCAATAAAGACTGTGCTGTTTGGGAAAGAATAGAGATCAACAGAAATGAGAGGACACTTAGAAACAAAAAATCATAAGTAATATAGGGTCAATTTTGACACTTCAGGCAAGGAAACCCAGGAAGTCTGAACTTACTAACACAGGAGACTGGACCACCGTGCCATCCACGTGCAAGTGTGTTAACAACACAGACTTTCCACCCGCACAGAATTAACTGCGGACGGAGCCGACACCAAAATGTCAAGTGCCAAGTGCAGAACTTCTAGAAGACACTGGAGAAACTCGGGTCTGCGAGTCAGCAAATCTGCTTCCCTGACAAGGAAAGCCGCGCGTGCGCGCGCCCTGAAGGCTGACACGAACGGTTTTCAGGCACCAGCTCCCTCCTCCTATGCTGTGCACAACTGCAGCCAAGGGAACTCAGTCACTCAGAGGTCCCCATTTCACCTGGGAGGTGCAGGGACCTCAGGGAACAAGCGGAATCACACCGGGCGCCGCCGGTCCCCGCCCCCAGGGCGAACCCACTCGGGCTCCCGCGGCTCCTCCCCGCGTGGGGACGGCGGCCCCGCTCACCATGGCGCGGACTCCGAGCTCGCCCCGCTCTCCTCGGCTCCCGGCAGCGGCTCGCCGCGCGCCTCACGGGACCAAGAGACATCCTAAGACGCAGAACCCAGCCCGCTACACGGCGGACAGGAAGTGCCCGCCTCCATTCTGACTTGCAGGTCGTCTGGAAACCCTGATTGGCTAGTGAGGCCTGAGTGACAGGAGTACCTACCTGTCTTAGAGACTGAGTGCTGAGAAGTGTCACAGCGCGGTGGTTCCCAGCCCTGGCTTCCACCTCAGGCACAGACTGTCCCGACCTGCGGAGTTGGGCCTTGCAGTGGAGCTTGCGCCTGGACTGCAGAGTCGTCTCTGCACTTTCCCTGCCCTCAGCAGGCACTGTCCCTTCGTTCTAGGCACAGGGCCTCTAACATAAGCAGATCATTAAACAGTGCACAGTGTGGTCCCCCGGCCTCATCAATACGACAAATGAAAATGTCAAATGAAATGAAAGGTCAGATTTAAGCCACCTGATTGACATTCAGCAGTCCTCAGGAGTTTCAACAAGGCACATCTAGGATTGCTCACACCTCCCTCAGCTACATCTGTTAGCCAAGCTTGAACGCTTTCCCACCCCACCCTTCTGTGGTGGCACTGGCCTATCATGCCACCAGTTGGGAGGTGGAGGCAGGACACCAAAAGTTTAAACCAGCTTGTTCTGAGATGGGAAATACCAGCAATTAAGATCCTCAAAAGAGAGGTTCCAGGGTGACAACCTGGGATAAGAAGATAAAGATACAAGTTTGGCATCGCAAGGCAGCAGTGGCTCATGCCTTTGATTCCAGCAGTTGGAAGGTAGAGGCAGGTGGATCTCTGAGTTTGAGGCCAGCCTAATCTACAGAGTGAGTTCCAGGACAGCCAGGAACTCAAACAAAAATAAAAAAACCAAAAAACAAAACATGACAAAAAAAAATAAATAAAAAGAAAAGAAAAGAAAGGAAAAAGGAAAGAAAGAAGTTTTGCAGTGGCAGGACTTTCATAACCCTATCGCACTTGTGCTTGTCAGAACACAGTCCTGGAATGCAGTCATGTTAGAATTCTGAGTGCCTGTGAGAACACTCCATGAAAGCAAGAGTCTTGGAACCTCAGTGTTTTCATGCTCCTCCCATCTTTATTGGATAGGAGTGAATTTACTTCAGATTATTCACTATTGCTTGCTGCTCTTCCTCAGACAAATGTTTATGCCTCTATAGAAAAACATGTTGGTTTTTTTTTTTTTTTTTTTTTTTTTTTTTTTTTTTTTTTTTTTTTTTTGAATGAACAGTTTGCGCAATTTTTTTTTTTTTTGAGCATACAGAACGGAGAAGAGATAAGAAATGGACTTAGAGAGGTCAAATTTCACATCTTTCTAATCATATGAGGAATGTTTGACAACAATGCTGTTTTTTTTTTTTTTTTTTTTTTTTTTTTTTTTTTTTTTTTTTTAAATATTTTTTTTTTTTTTTTTTTTTTTTTTTTTTTTTTTTTTTTTTTTTTTTGCTTTTGCTTTTTTTCGTTTTTTTTTTTTTGAGACAGGGTTCCTTTGTGTAGCCCCAGCAACCTTCCTTAAACCTCAGAGCATTCTGGGCTCTGAATAAAGCTGGCTATTGCATGAGACTGCAGTCTGCCTCAATTATCGACTCCATTGTCCCAGATCCCACATCTAGAGTGCTCACAGGGCTCTACCCTAGACCACACCCTCCTCCCCCCTGGGGGTTCTAGGTGGGGTCTCCACCCCTGAGGCACAACTTTAAATACCGCACAGCACTCATATTTATTGCTGTAATTGTGTTATGGATCCAGAAGACCAAACTGTGTTCTGAGTCCCCCTGCCCCAAGCATGTCCTCACCCAGCGTCCCACACTGCTTCTCTCTCTCAGTGAGCTTGTACACCTGGGTAGTCAGTGGTGATGTAGTGGTATATCTAGCTTCAGAACATATCAGATGGGGAATGACAGGAATCAGAGGGCCAGAGTGCAGGGCGCTGTGGGGTGAGGGGTGAGCTGGGCACCATTGCTGAGGCCCAGGCTGGTCTCCCACTGCATGCTGAGTCCTGTTGTTCCTCAGGTGCGTGAGAAGGTGGTGATGTCTGTGGCTTCAGCGTGCCGAGGTGAAGGATGGAGACTGAACATCTGAGCTGAGTCCTCAGCGGCCCTGCGCCTGCAGCCGCTGCATCTGCAGGATCTGGCTGAGAATGCACTGTACGTCCTCGTCCATCTGTCCCTGGGGAGGTGGGAGGGGACAGAGGCAGAGACACACCTTGGTGCACCTGCTGGGTGCTCCCCTGCCCCTTTCGAGTCTCTCTACTCAAACCCAAGGTAGCCAATGCTCCATGAGGAAGGTCCCTGCGGCACAGGTATGTTCCCAGACGCCACAGGCTGGCTCTGAACAGGAGAAACTGGGCCCCAGGAGGTGGCTGAATAATGGTAAAGCCAGGTGGGCACCCTTAGGTGGAGACAGGAGGCAGGGGACTCACCTAAATGGCATACAGGAGATGACTGCTGTATAAAGCCACCACGGCGCCATGCTCCCGGGCCTCCTCCTGTAGACACAGGGGAAGGAGAAGGGTCAGAGAACCAAGGTCATCCATGTCTATATAGTGAGTTCGAGGTCAGCCTGGGCTACATGAGACCCTGTCTCAGATGAAAGGTGGACAGGGAGAAGGGACCAAAAAGGGAAGGGAAGAAGGGGATTTGGGAGGGAAGGGGAGAGAACTGGAGGCCCAGCCACAGTGAGACACACCCACACACTCTGCCTGAGTCAAAACCCCAGGTTCAGTGGCTGCTGATGGCTGGATCAGGGAGATGTGTGTGAGGCACCCTGCCCAGCCTGCATCCTGCAGCCATGCCCACCAGTACCCTGACTGCTCTGCCTGTGGCCCCCATCACCCCTCCCCTGCTACACAGAGCCAGTACCTCCATCCTGTGCTGCAAAGCTGTCACCTGGCCTCGAAGGGCCTCCTCCTCCTCCTCGTCCTCCTCCTCCTCCTCCTCCTCCTCGGAGCTGGCTGGGATGCCTGCTGCTCCTTCAGAGCCTCCTTCAGTGCAAAGACTTCTTTGGACAGATCTGTGATCTGGCAAGGGGCAGGACTCCATGAGCGGCCACGCTGAGCCAAGCAGAAACCAGGGACCTCTGCACCTTTCCTAGGAAGCTTGGAACACGGTCACTGATTCTCGGGCCAGAACTTGAGCTGACTCAGAACTTGAATTTGTACAGCCCAGGGCTGAAAAATCTTCCTCACACTTTTAAATGTTTAGAGAGAGAGAGAGAGAGAGAGAGAGAGAGAACAATCCAATGGAAAATGTAGTGGAATTTTAATTCAGAACATGGCTGCTCTGGCAAGAGATGTGTGTGTGTCTGTGTGATCTGGCTGTAATATGGACATGCCTTTCATCGTAGGAGACAGAGGCATGCAGATCTCTGAATTCTAGTCAGTTTTGTTCAGTCAGTTCAGTTGAACAGTGAGTTGAGAGGCAATGCAGTGGAGTTGAGTTTGTGGCAGGTCAGTTTGTGGGAATCAGAGGCAGTTCTACCAGAATTTCATAGAGACAGGTTGAGGAGAGAACAAACAAGACACAGGTGAAGACAGAGGGAGCCAGATGATAAGAAAGAGACAGAAGATTAGAATGGGTTACTAGAGTTAGTGTGAGGCCAAGCAGAGCAATTCTGTTAGAGAGAGAAGCCAGACTGAATCATTCAGCTTGGAGAAGAGTTTGAGATAGAACAGCTGAGTTAAACCAGGCAGCCAGAGTTCAGAGAGAACAAGAAGGGGTGAGCTTATTCAGCGGTAAGCCTCCGAGGATGAAAACATTTCAGGCCTAAATTAGATTGTACAGAGGCTAGAAGCTTCCATGACAAGGCCTAGGTTAGCAGGCAGAAGCAGTGTGCCTCGGAGCAACAATTACATCAGGAGAATACTGGATATTTTTACAGAAAAATCTATTTGTGACCCTTGAAGGCAGTGCAAGTCACACTGTGATTTTTCTCAACAAAGTTTTATCATCACATGGCCAGGTCTGCTCACAGCAAAAGGGAACCACAGATTATGTTGTGTGGTTTACAGGTCAGTAAATACTGGTTGGTTTGTTTTATTTTTGTCCTTTATAGAAAAACGCCCTGACTCCCCTGATCTTAGGGTCTGCGTTGGCACATTCCAGGAACAACTAGGGTTCGAAGCTGTCTTTGGAAGGTTACGGGACCAACTAATTAAATAAAGACGATTAGGCATGTGACGGATCTTATATATAAAAGAGGTTTATTAGGTGGATATGGCTAGAGAGAGAGAAGGGAGAGCAGGACATGATGGGGGAAAGAAAGAGAAAGGAAAAGAGAGAGAAAGGAAAAGAGAAAGAAGGGGAAAGAGGGGGCGACCCGATAGAGAAAGGACCAAGAGTGCAAGAAAGAGACCACGTGTCGGGTTGTCCTTTTAAGGGGCAAGGTAACTACGCCTTCCAGGTGTGGCCACCTGGCAGGCGACACATAATGACATCAGAAGTTGCTAGGCAACCCAGAAGCAAGTTTTGTTCCAAAATCCTAACAGTCTTGCCATGTCTAGAACCCATAAAGACAACTTGGGATTTTTATCTCATTTTATGGAAAGCCAAGGACATGCACACACAAAATGATACAACCGGGGGCCGTGAGTTGGTTCAGGGCTGGCGACACTTGCTACCAAGCCTGCCTCTCTACCTGAGTTCAGTAACTGGGACCCACGTGGTTGAAGGAGAAAACGGATTCAGACAAGTTGTCCTCTGACCTCCACGCATGCATGCCCTCACCCCACCATAAATAAATGCAAGAAATAAAAAAAAAAAAATTAAAGGTACACATGTGAAATTTGTGTTCAAATCCTGGCTTAAACATTTAGTGGCTGTGTGGTGACCCGGGGCGGGTTTGCTAAGGTGGAGGCTTAGGAGGCGCAGGGGGTTGGAGGACTGGAAGAGCGGGAGGCGGAAGGGATGGAGCAGCAAGCTGGAGGCGCTCCAGGAACGGCTGGCT